ATTTCGTAACAACCACAATGTCACTTTTAAGTAACATACTCGAGATAAGAATTCATCTTAAATCTCAAGCACTTTTCGAAGGGTTTGCAATTTGTAAGCAGCGATCCTCGTTAATACTTGCAAGATCTGTAACAGAAGGATAAATCCACTTTGATTGATATACATATTAGGTAGTATCGTTTTCACCCTCTGCATGAAAGTAGCCGTCCCTTGGGGGAGACGATTTAATTTATCCGGGCGGGGTTCGTCCCCTTTACATCTATTTCTAGGTAGGATTTAATATTACTACACATTTCAAAGAGATTCTACTTTCTCATTCATCTTGTTATAGTGTCATATATATCGTTGTTTTAAGTATTGCTTATTATCTATATCAAATCCACGATCTCTGAATGGAGAACGTCTGCAAAACCGTGAATATGGGAACAGATTTATTTAAATTTGTAATTATTACGAGACGGCACGAACAGGGCAGTTTTTAGTTTCGCGGCATTATTTTTTAATTATCTTAGATATTAAATATGGAGAATAGAAAAGTAATTTCTGAATTAAAGTTTGTGACTGTAAATATAATACAGGAGCACACAGATTGTACTTAGAGAAACATACGCATGTATCTTTTTAAAGAGAATGCAATAAAAAGTGGTAGTGAATTGGTACATTTCCTGAAAGAACCATACCTGCATTTAGGAACACCCGCCAACTTGGAAAACATGAATGCATCGGCAATTTACATCATTGTATTTAATTTATCGTTTCTTTCATTAAACTTTTTATGTGTAACTATGCATTTTTTTCTCAAACAAACCATTGATCCAAAATATTTCGTTTCGGACCTACGTCTCTAAAAGTCCAAAAATTTTCATTTTTTAATTTATCAAGCAACCACAGCAAGATGAAAATAACGAAATAATCTAGGTCCTTGTGACCTTTGTTTTTTTCTTTAGAAAAAATGTTAGCTTGGTTTTTCTATTCCTCAATTCATTTACACACTTACATCCTATGTAATGTTTTAAAAATGAGGTTTAATAACAGTTTGTCAAATGTAGGAAAACAGATATTTATTGATTAATTTCAATTGCAACATAATAGTCGTTTATTAAAGTTTTATTTATTTTACAAATGAAAATCAATAATTTACTCTAAAATTATTATTACATAATAGTGAATATGTACAATTAGCCAATCTGATATTATTGATTATAGGAGTAAAATATCAAGAACACTAAACTTGAACAAACTTGAGCAAGTTTTGTTTCTGCTAACCTTTTCATATCGTCTAGCTTGAATGTAGTACGCCACTGGATCCACACAACTTCCTTTAATATATTGTACAGTAGAACATTCAACTTATAAACGTCTATGCGCTTATAAACACTTCGCTCATTCCTTGGAAGTCTAAAGGGTGCGCATGATTAACAGCTAACATCTTTATTCATAGTTACATAGTTACACTACTTTCTCTCGATTCCTTTTTTAGATGATACGATCTATAGTGAGTGACATGCTTAGACCATATAGTACATGGACTGCTATTCGCCCTATGCTTTCAATACAAAATGGGTGGTCACGGATAGAGGGCACTGTAGTCGTGGGCACAGAATAAGACCTTCACAGAACAGAAACATAAATGGCGCTAAATTGTCACTGATTACAGCGTTTCCCGTGGTTGTACGGAGAACTATTTATCGCAGACTCAAATATTTTTTTGCAAAACCTGTAATTTTGCTCGTTACAGGAAATATTTTTACCGTCGATTTTATACGTACACATGGTTTTACACAAGTCAATTTTGACTTTTGAAAGATTTAAAATATGAACAAGTTATGTGACTTTAAAAAGTGTTATGTGGCGGATTATAACAATAAAATATCAAAAAGGCATCGTTTCCCATATTTTGAAACAGATTGTTTTGTGCTTGAAACGCGAAGAGGATTGAAATGTGCTGTTATTTCTCTCCTATTTATGCAAGGTATGGAATTTATAAATTACCAACGGTATAGGCGCAAAAGG